TCTAACTCAGATACTCAGTGGTGGGTTCTGAAGAAACTATTTTCTCTCAGGAGGAGATCTTGGACCTGTTGTAGGTAATATTGTGTAAACATCAGCTCACTGTCCAGACATGGTCAAGCAAGTAAATAGGACAGTAAGGATTAGTTGAAAAGGAGCATTTTTAAAAGGATAAAGAGTGTAGAAAAGAAAAGAATTATGCCAGTTTTAATCCCTGGTAGATATGCCTTCAAAGCACTGAAGCAAGGCTTGGTTTTCTAACCTGAAATAATAGGTAGAAAAAAATACAGAGGTGGACAATAAGAAGGATTAAGCACAGTTTCTTTGTAAAGAACAGCAGGATAGATTAGAAGTCTTTAAGCCAGAGATCTGTAAAAGCAGCATAAAAGAGGACTGTGGTTGTTCATTTTCTCTGCCATTCAAATGTAGGTAAGCTGAACTTTACAGTGGTACTTCAGTTACAGATGTTCTGTCACTTTATGTGAAGCAGCCACATTGCTTGTATACTCCTCATAATGCAGGACAATAAGCCTCTGAATATTGAGCAGGTACCTTCATTGTTCTGTGAGTAATGAGTAGGAATAAATCTACTTCTTTGTTAGTTTTGAATTTAGGGGAGAAGGGAGAAATGCCACTGGAAGAATGTGGTATTCACTGCTGGCAGTGTGTGGAAGCCTGGTACATTATAGCTACTGGAAAGATGAATCTTGAAATTGTATGGATTTACATCCCAGCAAAAACATTTCACATTTCATTAATATGAAAAAATAGTTGAAAAGGTGTGCAAAATCTGAAATGCTAGGAACCTTACCTTTTTGTTTTTAATTACCTGAGATCTTTATTTTGTAAGTAGAGGAAATAAACTACTGCCCTTTTTCTGGCTTTGCATAGCTCTTTGCAAAGAAGCCACTGAAAACCCAATGTTACTACAATATTACTATTAATCAGAGGCAATAGTGTGAGGCATCGTGATTGTTTAGTGTTTTATGGTCTCAGTATTTGCCCACAAATTCTTTTTTTGCTGAAAATCAAGTTGTAAGCAAGTAATCATCACAAATATGATAATTTTGCCAGTGAGATAAAGTATACTAATACTGCCTGCCTAGACATTATGTAATGCTTAAGACAAAAAAAAAATCTATATAATCCACACAGTGCATAATTACTTTGCTTCTAGTATTGCATTAGCTAGTTTCTAGTATTGCATGTACCTTCACTGATGCAAGATTTTGATACTTTGTGAAACAAGTCCTTCTGATTAAACTTTAAGCAGAATGAATAAGCTTCAGTATTATGCATTGATATAGTGCTACAAAAAAAATCCACCAGTGCATTCCCTCGTGCATTATCCTGTCAACCTAAGTTTAACTATTTCACATGAGCAGTTTCTCACTTGTAGATCAGCAAAAAAAAGGTATATTTATACTACCTTTCAACAAGATTCCTCTTTCCTTACATTTCTTGAAGATTGAACAATGTTATATTTAGCACAGTTCATGTTAACCTGTCTGTTCTAGTTTTAGGTGGCTCTCCTCCTCAGCTTCAGAGATATTTTTTTGAAATTCCTGAAATAGCCCTTAGTTTTTCCCCAATAAGAGGTTTGCCTTTAGCTGCCCGTCAAAGTGATCAGGTTTGATTGTGGAGAGACATTATGAGAGACACCTCTGCAGCTGAGCAGCATCTCAGGCAGACTGAACACACAGTTCATTAGCATAATTTCACCCACTGAGTGGGCGATCTGTACAGGCATCTGAGTCCTGCAGACATAATCGTGACAGTAAGAGGACTAAATGGGTTGTTTCAAGCCTTGCTGCCCTGGTCACTGGGCCCTCAAGGCTGGATTCTTATTGTCACTGCAACTGGTTTGTCACAGCAGGCAGCAGGTGGCCAGGCGGAATGGGATGCTTTTTTCACCAGTTAGATACATACTGAGAGCATGTTGGTGGTGCTCTCAATATACAAAGAATAAATAAAGGGTCTGCACAACTCTCAGACGAAGCAGGAGGAAAACAGGAGAGTGGGCCCCCTTTTTCCTCTTTGCTCTGTAAATTAGAAGACCCCTGACAGAAAAGCGCAAGAAAAGTTTGCTTCTTTCTAGTCATAACTGGAGAACACAGTCCATACATACCATTCAGAGACAATGAATGGAAGGCACCTTTTTGGAAGGAGAGCCAGATGCTCCCAGCCCTCACATACACAGAAGTTAGCTACAGCTTCTTCTGCAACAGCAGCAGAAGTTTCTCTGAGAATGAAGAAGAATGGAAGGAGAAGACAGATAAACAGAGAAAACAGCAGCAGTTAAGTAGGAAAAATTGTTTATTTTTTCCCAGATGTCTGCTAAAAGGACACCTGTGGTTCCTCTGGGAAACCATAAAACAAGAGAGTGAGATTTGGAGGTTCTGAAAAGCACTAAGCATGTCAGGAGGTCTCTTATGTTGGGTAGATAAAAGTTACATTTGCCAGTACTAATATTCCCAACTAAATCCAACATGTTTTCTGGTGGGTAGATTTTGTGACACTTGTTCTTCAGCTAGATCCCCTTTCAGAGAAGGATCAGTCTTTACTTCAGCAGGATTTACCTCAATTGGAGGCAATATAAAATATTATAAGGAAGTATAAAATTGTTCTCTGTATAGATATTACAGCATACAGAATACCATTCTGTGAAGCTCCTTCTCAAAATAACAGGTGTCCATGAATGTGTTCATACATGAATATTTGTGGGTGTGTATATATGTGCTTAAATCAGCTACATAGGCAGCTCACAGCATCTTTCTTTTTTTGCAGTTTAGCTTTTTCAGTAGGAGTTGAAGAGTCATAAAAGTTCCATGCAAATACATTTTAAATTTTTTTTTGCATAATGTAGAAACTCCATGCTAAATTTTGCCTTATTTTTCTCAATCATAGTTTGCTAAGATCTTTTTCATTCTGGAGAGACAAGTATTTAGAACTGGGTGTGTTTCTAAAGGCGATGTATTTACTAGGAGGTTTTTATGGACAGACCCTAAAACACTGGTGTGTGTCTAGTAAGGTATAAGGTATTTAGGGCAGTAGTGAATACAATTCAGTGCATCACTTCACAGCGTTTCCTGACTGCCCTCACCTGTTGAACCCAGGAGTTACTGCTGCCGCAGCTGAAGCTGCAGGACACAGTACACACTGTATTTCAAGAATCCAGTTCGCAGTCCAGAATATTAGTTAAGCCAAAAATGAAGGTAACATCCCCAGACTGGGAACTGGCACCAATGGACATCCTTTTCTGCTGCACTAATGCACCAGTGGACATCCTTTTCTGCTGGCTGTGCTGTGGAGTGTGATAATATCCAGCACAAGAAATGGGCAGACTGATAAAGCGAAGAGAATCTTCAAATGACACAGCTTAATTATGACACAGAGCAAAAAGTGTCTGCCAGAGTATATGCTTATGTGGAGCTCATCTTCAGTGCAGTAGAGCTAATTATTTTCCTCGTGTCATGGTACTAACATTCAGAGAACGTAAAATGACATGGAAAGTGTTTTCTTCTTTCATACGGCAGTAAACGCCATGTTTTATTTATAGTGTCACTCATAGCTCTTCCAGCTGTATGGTTGTCCAAATGCCTCCCATCTTTGCTGAATCTCTGCTGTATGGACAAGCGTTTCCCTGCACACAATTGTGTTCTAAGCAGTGCATAGTCCTGTGTGTCCTGGGGGCTCTTTGCAGATGGGTGGGGAGTGTGAGCCAGCTGTGGTGGGGGTGCAGGGCTCTGTCCCTCCCCCAGCTTCCCAAGTCATGCCAGCAAGGCAACCCTTGGAAGCCAGCCCATGTTGACTGTGGCTGTGGAATATTTGGGTAGTGTTTGTAGTTAAATGGCGCAGGCTTCTGGGTGAGTGGAAAGGAACAAACCTAATTTTTTTCTTTAGTACAGTGGACTAGTTTTGCAATGCTGTGTAGTAGCAGGAGAGAACTGGCCCGCACTCATCTTTGCAACATTTTAATGCAATCAGTCTAAAATTATATTCTTGGTATCAAAGTGGTGCTATATGGTGATATCTGAGGTGGGGCCAATCTCTTGCCATGCTGCCTTGCTTAACTGCACACATAATACCACTGACCACCTACCAAGGGACCATCTGTAAGGCACCTAAGGCAAAGGGACCACCTGTACCATTACTGAGTGCTTCCCCTTTACTGATTTACAAAATGACACGGCAGGCCTGTGAGGGAAATGTTTACTTTTTCACTGACTGGTGAAATGCTACTTTTGAGAGTTAAGAAGTAGAGGTGATGATGAAGACATGAAGGAAATAATCCTTTCCATCTGTCCCTAAAAAGATTAACTTCATACAGTCAATTTCTGTTTATTTGGATAAAGATGTTATTTATAACATTTACTTCAAATGAGAAACAATTTGTAGTACCCTGTAGGGAAGATGGGGTCTGATAATACCAGTGTATCACCAGACCCACATGTAATATGTTTTGCCCAGTTTGCATATGCATAGGTGGTCATAAATGGTGCCAAGAAGTGGAGATCTGTCCCATTCATTTTGTTTTTTTTTAAACCAGCAGCAGTGAAATCCCACTGTAGCTTTTTAAGAAGTTGCTAGAAGAGTATGGTATTTTTAACTTTGAAGTCCCTATAAATCAAATCATGTCTTATGTGGAGGTTTTTTCTAAGTAAATGTAAAAAAGTGTTTTTCTTTTTATGACTAATCATTATTTCCTCTTTTGTAAAGCACTTTTAAACTAGGAAAAGCTTTGTTAAAAAGTCCTCATATGATGATAGACTGTGAAAAAATGGGAAATATAATCTAGGTTGGGTTTTTTTAAAATAAATTATATTTCTTTGTTTTATTGCTAATGCAAATGCATTTCAAAATCAAAGTAACTTGTTAGAATCCACAGATCTTTACACTGCTACTGAGATTGTGTTTTGATTTCTTTGACATGATCCCTGATTGCTGTAAGAAGAATCAGTTCAGTATTTTTGTTCTTAGATTCCCCCTCCTTTGTCTTGCAGCTACTTGTGGCAGATTCCATTAACAATTGCAGTAGGAAATACGAGCCACATCTCATCAGAGGCAATTATATGGGTGTCTAACAAATCAGGTAAAAATAAACTTTCCTCCCAGTGGAATCTCATAAAGCATACTTGTGTTTTCCTCAAATGTATCTTTGGAATTGATCCTAGATAATTGTTTAGTTGCTCTGCACCCAGTTTTAACTGCTTAAAATGGATTGTGAAAAAAGCAGAGCTGGGAAGGGAGGGAGGAGGATGAAGGATAAGCAACAATCTAGATTTATAATATTGCAGAATTTAGACAGTATAATGTAAAGCTTTTACAAAAAAACGTAAAGTGCTAAGTATTTTATATTTGGCAAAACATATCAAATCACTGATGAATGCAATTCACTTTATTGATGGGTGAAAGTTAAATGTAATATTGTATAATGAAGCAGATATGATGAGTATAGTTTGGAACATATAGAATTCTAGCATTTTTAACTTGATCCATAGTCTCAACCAGGCCTAAGAAATGGTTGCTGTCATTAAAATTGTCCTATTGATCTATAAAAAATATTTGTTCTCTCTATTAGAAAACCATATGCTGGAATTCAAAAGTTTAATGTTGTGCTTACTACATTATTTTCTTCCTCCTCAGTTCCTGGATGATTGTAACAGTATTAGTTACTGTCTGGAGGAGAGTGAGTGCTAGATGCCAGTGGTTTTTTATCACCTAAGAAAAGAAGCCCACCAAAGAAATTTCATTATTTATCTATTTCCTTAGCACTTCATGCTACATTGTCTGAGAGTTTTGGACTAGAATTGAAGAGAGTGAGGGAAGACATGTGCGAACTGGAATGGAATTATTATATAGAAGGGAAAAGAAGGACGCATGCATCCCCATGACATGTGGACTGTAGAGGGAGAACTGACCCTTTCTTGTATAATTAGAAAGATATAGAGATTCCCCTCTAATAGAAAATTAATGGGAGAGAGGAGAGTCAAACCCGTGTGAGATGTTTTTTCTCTTTCCTAAGTTACTAAAATATGTTAGTCACATAGAGCTTAGCAGCCAGAAGGACTGGAAATGAATGGTGTATGATCAGCCGAAATCTGAGTACCCCAACCTTCTAGTGGTACAAGGTATGTGTTGTTACCCAGATCGTTTGCAGCCTATGAGAAAGTAACATGTTTGATGCTGCTCCCATGATAGAATGATCTAGCAGTGTGCCTGCAGCCAGAGCAGTTTTCATACCTGGGGAACATGCTCTCATCAAAGCATATAGGTTCTCTCTTGCTTTTCAGAACTTACTATTTTGGCTATACTTTTTAACATTAGCGCTTCCAGAATACTTCAAGACCTGTTTGCACTTTCAGAGTCTGCCTTAATGACCTATTCTACTTTTGTCCTTTAGGGCTTGATTGAACTCTCATTGAAGTTAGTAGAAAGGTTCCCACTAACTTCAGAGCTAGCTGATCATCCCATCTCATTAGGTTGCACATGCATGTCTCCCTCCCTTCACTCCCTCCTTCAAAGTTCAGCATGTTGCTATTATCTACATAGATGCTTCCTCACTGCCTTTTACTTGCAGGGTGCTGTGGAGGAACAAGTCCATAAAACTGCTACCCACTCTTTTAAGATCTACTGCTTCTGTTGGAATGCTTTCAAGAAATCAACAAATTAATGATGGCCAGTGTGAGCAATTATTTTGGGTTGGCTACTATGTAGAAATTAAAGAGGAACCTTTCCGAGTCATCAGTCTCCTGTGTAGCAAATCAATGACACTGTGATCTATTGTCATTATCCTTGTTCTTCCTCATTACTTTCACTCACTTATTCACTTGCTGTGCCTCATTGAAAATGAGACTGTAAACTTATGACTACAGCAAGAATGTCCTCTTGTTTCTACTTATTGTGGTCTAGGCTGCTATGTATTGAGGCTGGTACACATCATTCCTGGGAGTTTTTCTGCAGCTGGTACGTTTGTTTCATGGGGATGAAGGAGGAATTCTGAGACTCCAAATGAGAATTTCCAGGTTTGATTCTTGTGGACTGGAAGAATCTTGAAGACTTTCTGTTGTACAGAGGACAGTTTCAGTATTGTCCCAGTGGGTAGTCTTGGAAAAAGTCTGCAAGCTGGAGGTGAAACAAGCTGCTGCAGAGGATATTTGGAAGATTGGAAGAGGTCACATTGTTCTTCAAATGCGTGTAGTTAAATGCAGATATACAAATCAACTTTGGAATAAATGCTATTCATGAGGGTGTTTTCTGTGCCCTTTTTAGGAAAGAGTAGGCAATTCCTTCTTGTTGACTAAACTGTTGTGCTGAAGGAGCTTCCAGTGTGACTGGAAGAGTGGACAGGAGCTAATGAGCAGCTCTCTGTTGTTTGTTATTGTGATCTGTTGACCCTGGCTGGACACCAGGCACCCACCAAACTTTATCACTCCCCTCTGAACCTGGACACGGGAGACAGAATATAAAAAAGTGTTCATGGATCTTAAATAAAGCCTGAGTTAGAGACCCCTCACCAAGTACTGTCTCAGCAAAACAGACTCGAAATGGGAGCAGGATAATGAGAAGTAAAAACAGACCTTAAAATGCCTTCCCCTGCTCTCCACCCCTCCCTGTTTCCTAGCTCTGCCCCCTCTCCCCCAGCGGTGCCGGGATAAGGGAATGGGGCTTATGGCCAGTTCATCACATGTTGTTTCTCCCACTGTCCCTCCCACAGGGTGACAGCCTCCTCTCAGGCATCCACCTGCTCTGGCGTGGGTCTCCTCCACGGGCTGCAGGTGGATCTCTGCATCCCTGTGGATCTCCATGGGCTGCAGGGGCACAGCTGCCTCACCATGGGCTGCACCATGGGCTGCACAGGAATCCCAGCTCTGGTGCCTGGAGCACCTCCTGCCCCTCCTTCTCCACTGACCTTGGTGTCTGCAGGGTTGTTCCTCTCACACGTTCTCACCCTGCTCTTCTCTAGCCACAGTTACATCTGAGCAATAACTTCTTTTTTCCTTCTTCTTATTCTTAAATCTGTTGTCACAGAGGCATTACTACCAATTCTGGTTGGCCCAGCTTTGGCAAGCAGCATGTCCATCTTGGACCCAGCTGGTATTGCCTCTGCTGGACATGGAAAAGCTTCTGGCAGCTTCTCACGCCTCTATGGTATTTCTCTAGCCTCCCCTCTGCTACCAAACCTGGCCATGCAAACCCAACATAGTCATTATTACTGATCACACACCTAATTTCAGCTGCCAATAGGGAAAAGGATTCAAGTTGATGACTACCACTGTGATATCTTGGCATATGACTTAAATCTTCCAATAAAATTAACCTTGTCTGTGGGTTACCTGATAGAAATGAAACCACAGCAGTTTTGAAATAATACATCAAAACATGTTCCTCCTTTTTTTTTTTTTTTGGTGATATTTTGAATAACAGTATCCATCAGGAGTTTACCCTGTGCCTTGCCCTAGCTGACCAAGAATGGTTATTTGCTTTTCCTAAGAGGCTTTTCCTTCATGTACATCCAGAAAGACAAAAGCAAGAATTGTTGATTTTTGCATCCTCTCTGCCACTGTGTCTGTGACCTCATCAAGATGTTTTTGGATACCTGTTGGTATTTTCATGAACAAAAGGATATGAGGCTGCTCTCCAGCTCTGTGAGACAGACATGAATTTAGGATGATTGAGTTGCTGCTGCTCTTTCGTCATCTTGTCTGTCTCTGGCTACATGCCAGGGGTAGTGAGCATGCAGATCACTGATTGTTCAATATGCTGGGCAGGATCAGTTCAGATAACTGCATCTCACCACAGTTGCTGTCAACAATGTTAGGTCTGTCCATTCTTCACAGCACTGAAGTGAAGGAACACACTGGAAATTACAGCTGCACAGTGTCTTTTTGAGTTGCAGTTCATTATCCTTTGCAGGAAATCCTGTAAAGAGGACAGTGCCAGGCCTTGGCAACTTGTTTGACAAGGTGCGTTGTCACTATTGAGTAAGAAACAGCACAGACTTACTAGAAGGCTGGTTTGTACAGCATAGTTGTTTTACTTTGGTTTCTCTTTTTTTACACATTGTTCTGATACAGATAGACTAGATTGGTCAATTAATTAATACTTTTCACTTGATTGGTTAATTAACAAACCACTTTTCTTATAAACAGTCTTTGAGAAAAATAGGAAAACAGAGAGTAGGAAAACAACACCTGCAGATTGTTTATAATAATAAGCTATCATCGTTTATCTTCAACTCCCTAAAGTCTCACAAGCTGATTCTGGGAAAACTTATCTAGTTTTCTTGTTCTCTGACCAGGCTGTCGCATCCACAGTGCATAATATCCAAGATGTTTCAAATCTAATACAGCTCTTCCCACCTGTTTGTGGAAGGCACAATGTAGGCATAGTTTTGAAAGCTTTTCCTTTTGCAAGTGCTTCTGCCAGTCTCTCTTCTCATTACCCAGTGAACCATATCATTTATGTAACTGTATTTCTGCTCATCAGTTCATATACCAGTCATCAGATGATGGTCCTTTTACTGGGTTCAGTTTATCTGGTGTGTGAAGTGGAACTGTCTCATTTGCTCTCAGAGTGCTGCACAAAGGTCACCACCACCTTTTCCCTGTTCTCTCCCCATGGCCATAGATGACGCTGTTCTGCTTCAAGTAACTGTAAACCAGTCACAAAGGGAAAATCTTGTGCTAGAGCTTCCTATCCATGCTGAGGTTGGAAACATCATGCTAAGATGGCTGAAGGGCTCTTTGTGCCTCAATCTTGCAGGTCTGCTGAATGATAAATTTTACTGGCATTGTGGAAATCATTGGTGTTACAAACTTCTGCTCTGCCGTATTCCAGGGCTTGTTTCTATTTCTCCTAGATAAGTTGCCTCTTTTGTAGTTATTATAATGATCAGTGAACATGTATCCATAGCATTTTGGGGTCAGTCCAAAATCAGTAGTGGGTAGAAAGCCAGGAACCAGCTTTGGACACATTCCATGCTTATGACTGCTAAACAGGGCTTGTGGGGGTGTGTTGGTGATTTCTGATGAAGCTGTACTAGGTGTGGAAGCACAGGCTTACCTGTGCATGCTCCTCCAAATCTAGAACCGACCTTAACCTCAAGTGAGGAGGTTTAGCTAGCATCCATTTCCAATAGGTGAGCAGGGCTTTGGAAAAAGACATACTTGCTGTTCCCTGGAAATAATTTTTCTGGTGCTCAGTCTCCAAATAGGAAACATTTCCATGCAACTCAGCAATTGCTGCTGAACTAGCTGACACAGCTTTAGTCCCTGCCCTTTCCATCCCCACCTCCTGTTTATTAACTGATTTGTTATGTTCCTAGGAAACACTCCTTAGATAGACCTCCCTACCGCAGTTAAAGTGACTGCTGTTCAGATTTCTCCTAATATCTCCTCAGGATTGCCATGAGATGGGGGAAAGCAAGTTCAACAGGGTAATTCCCTTCCAACAGCAAGTCCCAATTTACTTTGCCACCTCCTACTAGACAATCTCTACTTTAAGCCACTCAACAGTCAGATTCTCCTCCAGGAAGTGTTTTGTAGAAGAGAGATGCTTCTGAGCTGGGGTTTGCTGGCTGCCTGCTGGGGAGCAGAGCATTAGCTGCAGCTTTAGAAAAATACCCTTTTTTTCTTTTCTGAAACTGAGCTGCTGAGATTTACCTGTGTTGCTTCCAGACTCCATTCCTTCATCTTTCAAAAGTAGGAAGAAGGGAAGCACTGTGAAAAAAGATCAACATACAGGTTCTGCTTTGAGCCTCAGCCAGCTGTAGTTAGGACCAGAGATACAGGACTTGCGATCTTGTGTAATTTTGACAGAATGAGTCAGAATCATTCCCCTTATTCTGACAGCTGAGGATCCTAGCAGAAGACCGCTGCTTACATTGCGTATCACCTTAGTCATTAGCAGTTCCCTCATATAGGAATATTAATGGATAGAAGGGTAATTTGAAGAAAGAGTTTTGTGAGATGGAACATAATCATATTTCCTGATGTGCTCCATTTATCGTGCTAATCTCTATACCAAAATATTTTCTTTCAGCATGGAGCTATGTCAACATGGCAAGTGAGATAGATGGAATGTTTTCTTCTGGATGCCTTCTCTCTGTATGAAAAGTTCTTGCAAGAAGATATGCAGGATTTAGTAAAGCCAGTATAAATTATTATGAAAGTCCTCATGGAAAACTTTTTTGTCAGCAAAATTTTGCTTGCTGTTGTTGTCAAGAAATTGTGCTATACTTGTGCAGTTGTTTTTTGCAGCAAAATGGAGTTAATTTCCCCAGTAGGGATTCTACTAGCTTAAAACAATTTCTTAGTATGCTAGGGGTTGTATAAGGTAAAGAGTTAAAATAACAACTGTGAGTCAAAAGACTTTAAATGGTACTGGAACTGTGTTTAGCCCATACTTTTGGCAGTACTCTCTTGCAAAAGGGTGCCCTTCTCCCACACCTGCCCCACATGCTGGTTTTAATGGAATTGAAATTGTTGGGAGAGCTCAGAACTTCAAGCCACGTGCACCTGCGGGAGGAACTATCTCACACTTTGTGAGCAGACAAACTGGGGAGAAAAATGAGACCCTAACTGATTTTTTTACCTCAAAACAAATAAGTTGAAACGTTTCTTCCTAAATATTTCCTATAAGTATGCGGCAAAACTAGAAGTTTTAGAGCCGTGTTATTTTCTGAGGCATCCAGACAAAGGATGACCATGGAAAAACACTTTCTGATGGAAGAAGATTTAAAAAAATGCCCTTTAATCTCACATATAATGGGATATATATTTTTGATTGACTTTTGAGAGGTGAACTAAAACCTTCAAAGATGGATTTCATTTCAAATGAAATCTTTGTTGTTGTTTAGAAAGTAATGAATGGTTTAATGTAGAGTTTAACACTGAGTTACTACCTTTTTGCTAACTATAATACTTTTAACAGAAAGCTAATAAAAGTGTTTGTTGAGAGTGGAAACATTACCCAGGTATAGAATTGTTTAGTGTCTGTAATTACCAAAATAAATAATTTCTTTTGTAGGAAAGCATGAGAACTGACAGACACAAATGTCAAATTCTAGTAAATTATATAGAACTGTATGAAGAACATGTATCAGGCAGTCCTGTAAAATAGCCACCTCTTTATGTAAGTTGGGAAAGTGTGAAAGATTTCTGTCCTTTATTTCAGGAGAAGGTCAATACATGAGTGGTCTTATTGAAAAATAATAGCAGGAGGTTATGGTTGCATTTAAACTGACCGAAACAGCAATAATGCCATCGTGATTTGGATAGATACTCTCTTCCTTTATAGTGATACATACTGGGGTGTTGCATAGCTGTTGCATGTGAAATAGCTTATTCTGAACTTGTCCTATTTGACTGGGAAGTATCATTCAATACTCTGTTGAAGCATAAGTAATTTCCAGACTTTGGAGGTGAAAATGTAATACAAATGCCCAAAGGAGAAAAGGTGCATGTATTTTTTAATTGCATAAGAATTTGAAAATTTCCATTTAATGTGTTTATTTACCCAAATGTTTTTTAATGTGTGCTGATAGCCAATTTGGTATGCTTTTAGGTAGCATTGTAGAGGTGCAAAGATTAGCTAGTTTCAAGTAGCTGCTTTCAGGACTGGTGGCATTTAAAGGTTAGTTTGCGACCAAAGAGCATGGGCAGAAAGCTGTACTGCATTAAGGTGGTACAAGGTTACTGACGAACAGGATTCAAGTCTTCTCTTAATAGGATGGAGCAATGGGTTGGATCTGACTTGGGCCCAAGGAAAAAAGGATTTAAATAGAGCAGCAAGCAAGTCTAAGAGAATTTGCTTAGGACTGATTGGTACTGCCCCTTGTGGAAGAAAGGACACACAAGTGTTACAGCCTTGTTCCAAATCAGATTGTCTGGCAGAAGCATCTTAGGTACTTTGACAGTATGAACACCTGGGAAGTCCACAGAGTTGTAGGACTCAATTCAGATTTCCTCAGTTCTATTTCTGCAGGATATATTGGATCCTAAAGAATGTGTCTGCTTGGTGCTTTACCACAGATAAAAGAGCAATAACAGTTGAATGGAACAGGCAACAATGGAATTATTCTGGGCTTAATATTTTTAATAAGTGTATTTTTCAGAGATTTTAATGGTTTCAGAACTACCTAGGGGAAAAGAGGACTATCTGTTTTAATCCTGCAGTTTTTTATCTGAATCCATATGCATAATGAAGGTCCATGAATTTAAACATATAATTATGTGTTTTTAAGATTCGGGTCTTGCTGATCTTTGTACTTATTGCACTTTAAAGTAGTAGTTATTTGTGGGCTTGCTGTTAGTCAAGGGAGAAGCACAACTTTTATCTGTAGCCCTAGTTAACTATAATTTCCTCAGAAATCACTTTTATACAAGAAGAACTAAAACAAATAAATTTCTTTGGGAAGGCTGTATACTAGATAGTGTGAGTGAATTGTAAAGACCTTACTCCTAACTTTTTTCCCATTTGTTACCTTCAGAGAGTTCAAGTGCACTAAAAAATTCTCTAATGGAATTGCATTTTATAACAAATTTTACGTATTTATTTATTTTTTTTAAATGAATGACAAGACTACTCCTTCAACAGTGTAAAAAATAATTTTATTGGTAGAAAAAAGTGTTTCTGAATTTTTAGTGAGTTCTTGTTCATGGTTAGTTTCGTCAAAATCATTTACTGTATTGAAGACTTCTTCCAGGGGTGTTGAAGCCTAACGCTTTGTGCCTGATAAAAAAGAAGGGCATGTTGTGAGTTCAGGGCATTTCTGTTGCTGAAATTTTGAAATCCCTATTTCTGCAAATTGTTGTGGAGTGCCTGACTGCAGAAAAACAGTAATAAATTTAGACTTTCAGCCCTAAAGTGATTACTTAAAACATAGGGAAAACATGAAGAACAGCTTAGGGGATATAAGGTTAATTGGTCTAGCTCTAAAGAGGAAGCTCTCAGTGCTTAGTAGGTAGAAGCTGTTCAACTGGAAGTGCTTTAATTTAAAATCCAATGTAAAAACTTAATCAAATACATGCAGAAACACTTAAGAATCAATTTTTTTAATCACAGGTTTACTCTTCTCTCTACAGCACATTCCTTGAATTTTTTGTTACAATTGTAGAAAACTATTTAAGCATGGCCAGAATAAGGGTACCAGACTTAAAGCGGCTACCTCTCATAAAAATAATACTTGCCAGGAAAGAAAAAGCACACTTGAAGTTCTGTGTGTGTAAATGGTCCCCATGGGATTGTCAGTTGGCATCTCTCTACATCAGAACAGATGAAAGAAATTATTAATCTAACACAGTATATTTGTTAGTCTTTGAATTAATTTTACTGCCTTCACGTCTATTTAAAGAAGGAGAAAATGTAACAGATGCACCTTTAGAATTTTTAAATTTGAAACCAAGACCCCTTCCCTTCTTCTTCTTTGTTTCCAGAACACCACAGAATTCCTGCTTTGGAAGAGGCAAGTTGGTTGCTGGGGAACATCAACCAGACTGGCTACTTCAGAGTTAATTATGATATTAGGAATTGGAAGCTGTTAATTAACCAGCTAACAAGGAACCATGAGGTAAGATCCTCTTCTCATCCCTAAAATCTGCCTTCATCGATGAACCTTCACTGTTTCATCACCTTAAATTGTTCAATTTTTGTGCTTGCCCCTCACAGGTTATCTCTGTCAGTAATCGAGCAGGCTTGATTGATGATGCATTCAATCTAGCCAGGTATGTTTTCCTGAAGATCATCTATCCTCATACACATTGCTGCAATAACTCATGCAACCATTAACTTAACAGTTGAGTGTGTTTCAAAGTTAAAGTGTGTTTTAAACACACTTTAGTTTCCCTCCCCTGCCTTTTTTTTGTATAGCTCATAAAAATGGTCTGTAGCACATTCACTACTCTTGATCAATAATTGCCGTAGGGTATTTCCGAGTCTGAAGAGATTTGATCAATTTTGCAGCAAGTTCAATTTAACACTGTGCAGATAAATAATCTCTTTCCTCTTTCTCTAATGACTGAGGATTTCTTCTTCCGTTTTTCCCAGATGTCCCACCTCTCCTTTCTTTTACCACTGATCCTTGTGCTGTATTTAATTTGACATGGAAGGCACCTTCAAGCTTCAGTAATTTTTTTGCCCTAACTTGTACTATTATATCATTTTTCCAGTATCTTTCTTTTTTTATAATCTGCTAGAACAGACCCCTTTTTTTCTCTGTGGTGCTTTTCAAACATAATGGAAAAGCAGTTCCATTGAGCATTTCTGGAACTTATGCAACATTTTTTGTTTTATTATGATGAGAGCTAATAATTAACACATATAGTGCTGGTTAGGTAGTTCCTTCTTTACAAATGGAGGCAATGGATTGGTCCCCATTTTGAAAGCCATTATGTTGATAGTGAAAGTGTAAAATGGAGGAAAATAATGGAACATTTGTAGCTTTTTGATTTTGAGGTACTGGGAACATAGCATTAGCATAGGGTTTTGATTGCATAATAACAGATTTAATTGTAAAATTGCAAATAATGTGATTTTACTTGCACTGTCACGTCAAAGGGAGCATGAAAAGAATTGCTAGTGTCTTTACATTTAACTACAAATGGTCACTGGAAGTGTTTGGGCTTCAGTCACAGTGTCACAGCTCAGTGATGTTCTAGCATCACTGCAGTAAAAACACAGTTGTGTGCCCTGCCGCTCTGTTCCTGCTGCTGACATAAAGTAGTGATTAGCCCTTACTTGACAATCCAGAGATGTAGTGGGGAAGAAGGAATCATGGGGAGAGGTGTATCCATTTGCTTTTGGCATGGCCCTTCATTCTTGCTTTGTGACATCTTCCCATTGGTAACAGTAAAAACTACGAATAGGTCATTATTTGACCTATTCAATAGGTTATGATTTGTCTACTCTCTGACTAGGAGACTATTGCAGATTATTCTGAAATATTTAGACTATTAGAACTACCAGATGTTGAGTAAATTCATAATCTGTTCAAATTTTATTTGATTTTGAAACCTCAGAGAAGTAGTATGCAGTTACACAGAGCCAGTACATCACCTTCTTTTTCCATGCACTTAATGCAGTCAGATGTGTCTAGAGTTCCCTGAAAGTCCCTTAAAAAAAGCTGTTTCTTAAGCCAGTTTTTGTAGGTGAGTGTTTTTCTTCTGAGTCAGTATTGAGCCAGTGCTCTCAGTCTTGTTCATAGAGTATTAAAATGAGGTCTTCATTAAAGACCCAACCTGAATTGTCTGACCAAGTTTCATCTACCTAAAAATCACTCAAAAAATTAGATGAGTAATGCATTCCCCACTAATTTTCTGAAGTACTTTTATAGGGATATTTGAGCTGGCACCTTTTTCAGAGGTAACTACACTAGAACCTTATGAAGTCTTTCACAAGATTTCACATTAAAAAACCCTTGACTGTGTTTTGTTAACGATGATCTTATCATGCACTCTGGAAAAATGTAGTGGAGCTATAAATGTATGTCTAGACACATGTGCATACATGGATATCACTGAAGAGGAAATATTCTTCCAATAGGCATATGCAGCTAGACTCCTATTTCCAGAGTCCTTTCAATAGTGTTACCTTGAGTGTGTGCCTTACAAGCCAGTTTGGAGGAAGGATCTGTTTGCAAACAGTAGATTTATGGTCTGTAGCTCAAGAGTAGCAGTAAGATATGTGGACCTGGCTAAACTTGCCATGTAGGGTATACTTCTTGTTGATCTTTATTACATTGTTAATCTGTCTTGGCTTGAAAAGACAGGTGTCTGTTAAGGAAGGCAGGAGCCTCTCTTGAAATGGAAAATATGACTCCCCTCGCTCCAAATTACTATAATTTTGAAATTAGGAGGCTCTTAGGCAATGATATGGGAATAGTCCTTTACTAGGAAAACTAAAAAGCCCCAAATGCAATAATATAAATGGAAAAAAACCAACATTGACAGAGTCAGAATACAACCTGACACTTGGTCAGGGTGTTGGTAGCAGTCCAATTGGACGGTGGCTGCAATCTTCCTGCAGTGACAGATGTAGTTCTGTTGAAGCAGGGATCCTGTAGAAGGGTGGAGTTTTCCTCTGAAGGTCCAGTGGTGGTGTAGATGGGCCTGGTTTTCCTCTGGGAATCCAGTGGGGAAGAAAGCTGCTTCTCTGGGAATCTGGTGGGAAAAGGCTGCCTATGGTGTTCCAAATCTCAAGTTATATATTAGGCAGGAATGCTTGGCTCCTCCCTCTGGGTGGAGCATCTCCCAATGGGATGATGTCATTTTATCAGTCATGCAGTGACACTCAGTGGCCCATTAACAGAAGATGCTTCCTGGAGGGAGAATTGGTTTGTGGAAGAGACAAAGAAAACTGCCCAATTAACAGAAGATAACTGCCCCACCTCCAACAAATGGCAAATAGAATACACACCTTCAGCGACATCTTTCAACCTAAGACCATCTATCACCTTCCTGTTTAACAAAACAAAAACAATTATAATGATGCTGAAGTTATTATGATTGGCTGGCTGAGAGCATGGTAAGTTTTTAGGAAAAGCTTGGTATTTTTTATTTTCATTCCTCTTTCCCCAGACCAAAAAAAAGACCAGGATTAGGATTTGGCCTAATAGATGCTATGTTTCTTTATGATGAATAGGACTAGGAAGGCATTAAGAGACTCTTAACAGGATGTTGAGGGCTGGCCTTGATGTCCAAGTATGAGAACTTAGAATAAGAAAGTAGTTGGAAAAGCCCTTGCTAGGAGAGGCAATGGGAATTGAACCCAAATGCTGCAGTGTGATGCAGCTTCTCCTGCCACATCCGGGACTTTGATGTGACACAGCAGTGATCCTAAAACAAGCTCTGACGGCTATCAGACTAACACAGACTCTTTCAATTTTCTGAAAAAGTCACTGTTCAAAAGGCCACCATCAGCCTAAAAGCAGCTTAGCTTTCCCTCCCCTGGCTGCAAGGTGCAATGCAGAAAGTTGCCCCACTTTATTTTGTAGCAGTACCATAGTTGGATGTGCTGTGCTGGTTCAGTGTCGTGTCCGATGCACAGTGAACGTCATACTCCCTGCCTGTATGACATTACGTGGTGGGGACATTAAACACATGCACTGGTCTCTGCCTGTGACGTGAGAGAAGGTCAGTAACCTTATTGACCAGACATAGAAGTAGTACTTGGTAGTTCAGATCTGATTTCTGAGAAGACTGGCTGTTTTTAACAGTAATTCAGTCCTCAGTTTTGGTTCCTGGTTGTAGTGATGCATTTACTTGTAGTCTACAACTATAAACATGTATTTTTTGAGAGAGGGAGGAGAACTGTGGAATACATACTTTAATTCTAATCCCTAGCTATTATTTTTAATACTAAATAATGTAAAAATTAAAACATAATTTCTTAAATTCATGCTGGTCCTTTCAAAAATTGTTTCTAATGTAAGCAGGTTTTTCTTACTGTCGTGTGGAGACTGTATTTCTTCAAAATACCCTGTCCTTCTTAGAAACTTCCAAAGTACTTCCTACTGGTACAGATAATACCAAAATGTTTTGACTGAATTTTTCCACTATTATAATATTGTCTGTCCTAATATGATTATTTCTGTGTCATTATACAGCTAATTGATTTGTTTGTGGAACAAGTGCCACTCTTCTCTTTAGTAAAATTTAATAATATTTAAAACTAGAGAAAATTGAAAGAAAGTGCTCATATAAATTGTTTTGGAATGGCATGTTTTATTTTTTTAAAGGTGTCTTTGATTTCATTCCTCTGAAATGTTAATTATCCTTCTACTGACCAGCATAGTGATTTCTTGAAAATCAAGAACATAAATGAAATGATACTACCAAGGAATATTTAAAACTCTGTAGCTTTTAATTGCATTTTTTTGGATCCATTTTATATGGAAATGCATTCCTTCATCTTCCTTCTTGCTGTATTTTGGTTTATATAACATTCTTCAAGGAGAGTTGAGTGGAATAATAACAACAAAAGAAAGTTACAATTTGTTTGTTTTTCAGATTTTTAAGCGTAATTCTTGGCTGTAGTGCATGCACTTACCCTTACGATATAAAAAGCTGTATCCTTGGCAGAACATAGAATAGCACCTTGACACTCCCTCTTCCCTTCTTCTTGAAGATTCTTTATCCTTCTGTTTGCATGAGGTTTCGGTAGAATTTAAAAATTTGTTAATTCTAGTAAATGATACTAGTAAACATTGACTGAAAAAGCCCAGAAGCCATGAGAAGACAAACAGAACTGTGGTTCTCATCTAAGTTTAGACAGAGCAGAGGGCAAGTCTGGTAGCTCCAATAAGCAGCATCACAATAATTAACAAAAGTTTCACTGTTTCATACGAGTGTGAATAACCTTGTCAACTTCTCCTATCTTTCTCTTTCCTTAACATAAGGGGTCAGTTAGTGAGTATATGAGGTGGGATGCCTCCCAATTTACTTTAGGCATCCCGAAGATAGACCTGTAAATCTGACATTCTCACCTTGTAGTGCACTGACAGTTAATGGAAAGAAACATACACCTGACCTCTCAAAACCACTTAACTACAAAAGATAAAGTACTCACTTAATGTTACGAGTGTTGTGTCACCCCTGGTTCTTCCTTGATGGGCTCTAAATCTTCATAAAAGATTTCTCTCATTAAACTGGTTGCCTTGGTCTAGTATTATGTGAAAGAAATAGGTCTGATTAATGTTTAATGTTAATCAGTGTTGAATCAGATGTGA